ATTTATGCTATGTACACAGTCACAGTTTTTCCACAGAAATTTGTTCCAGCATACTTAAAGTACATTAAATTCATATTGTGGCAGTCTTATAAAGAAATCCGCTTGATTTTCAACTCGAGGATAGAACGGAAATTGTGATGCCATGGAATTTAATGGCCCTGTGGAAAAAACTATGTTTACAGTATTCAAAATACACAATGTATTTCATTTACATGAAATAAAAGAATAATTAAACAAGCTAATTCAGGGAATTTGTGTCCTCCATTTAAGGAAAAAAGAAATGGGCTGGATGGGATAAAATGCAGATGGAGAAAAAAAGCTGACCTTGACTTTCAACTTTTGCCCTTAGTCAATTGGAGTCTTTTCTTAAGTTAAAAAAATTCATGACCTTGCATTTCATTGCAAAGAGAGAGAACTAAAGTTATCATCTGAAAACTAAGCATGCAATATATGAATTTCTGACCTTGGTCTTTGACATTTTGACCTCAAAATCAAAAGGTATCTTTTTTAATTCATATTGACTAAAGGTAAAAAAAAAATCATTGCAACACTTCAAAGAGAAATTAAGTTATTATAAGGAAACCATTTTATGCAAGATATGAATTTTTGACCTTGACCTTTTAATCTAAAACCCAATAGAGGTCTTCTTTAAGTCATTGGGAGTTACAATAAAAGATTTTATGGAAAAAGCTCAATGAAAATTAAAAATAACATCTGGATATCATATTTTGCAAGGTATGAATTTCTGACCTTGACCTTTGGACCTTAAAATGAATATGAGTCTTCTTTAAGTTACTGAGAGTTATGATATAAAACTTCATTGAAAAAGATGAACAACATCTAAAACAAAAGTTATGATCTGGAAATCATTTGTTGCAATATATGAATTTCTGAGCTTGACCTTTGACCTTAAGATCATTTAAGGGTCTTTCTTAAGACAAAACATCATCTTGGAAACCATTTTCTGCAATGCATGAATATCTGACCTTGACCTTTTGACCTCAAAATCAATATGCTTCTTCCATAGCCATAGGGAGTTTTGATACATGTATAAAATTTCATTGCAAAAACCAAAGGCTTTATGAGTTATCATCTGGTCAGGAAATGAAAGTGTTTCACGCAGAATGTATGAAGTCGCCCGCGTGGCGCAGTGGTTAGAGCGTCTGCCCTAGAGTAGTGAAGTAAGGAGTTGATCCTTAAGTCGCGGGTTCGAATCCCACTGTGGGACGTGGAGACAGTTCCTTCGGATGAGACTGTATAAACCGAGGTCCCATGTCGCAGTAGGTGCTGGCACGAAAAAGATCCCTCACTGCTCAATGACCATAAGTGCCGAGAATAGGACAAAATTTGCAGCTCTCCACCGGCAAGTGATGGCGTCTCCATATGAGTAAACAACAAACAAACAGAATGTATGAATTTGACTTTTGACCTCAAAATCAATAGGAGTTTTCTATGGCTATAGCAAGTTTTTCAGATATTGTCAGGAAACAAGTGTTACACACAGACAGAACGCATGAATTTATGACCTTGACCTTTGGACCTCAAAATCAATAGGGGTCTTCTTTAGGCCATAGGAAGTTTTGATATAAAATTTCATTGTACAAGCTCAAAGGCTTTTAAAGATATTTTCTGGAAACAGAAGTGTCACCCCACACACTTCTGATTCTAACAAAATGAATTTATAACCTTGACTTTTGACCTCAAAATCAATAGAGGTCTTCTTTTATCCATGAGATATTGTGATATAAAATTTCAATGCAGATTAAAACTCAATGGATTTTTTAAAGATATTGTCTAGAAACAAAAGTGATACACACAGGCAGAACATATAAATTTATGACCTAGACCTTTGGACCTCAAAATCAATAGTGGTCTTCTTTAGGACATGGGGAGTTAAGATATATAACATGCCATTGCAAAAGCTCGAAAGTCTTTTTGAAATTAAGTCCAGAAACAAAAATGTTCCACACATACTGAAAATATGAATTTCTAATCTCGACATTGACCTTAATATCAATGGGGTCTTCTTTAGGCCACAGAGAGTTGTGATACAAAATTTCATTGCAAAAACCCAAAAGGCTTTTTGAGATATTGTCCAGAAAAGAAGTGTTGCAAACAAATGAAATGTACGATATTTTTGTCCTTTACCTTTTCAACCCAAAATCGTCTTTTTTAGGCCACAAGGAGTTGTGACATTAATTAAATTTCATTGAAAAAAGCTTGCAAAAAAGGGAGTTGTGTATAAAATTTCACTGCAAAAGCTCAAATGCTTTTTGAATAATATCTGGAAATTAAAATGTTCCACACAGACAGAATGTATGAATTTGACCATGACCTTTTGACATCGAAATCAAAAGTGGTCTTCCTTAGGCCATAGAAGTTGAGATATAAAATTTCATTGCAAAAGCTTAAAAGATTTTTAAGACATTGCCTGGACAGGGCTAGAAAAAATTATTTTTGTTTACTGGTCACTCGGGCTATCTCCTAAAAATTTTACTGGTCAGCTTAATTAGTACTTGTAATGTCCAACTGGGCTAGTGGATTTTAAAAAGACTGGCCCAAAACCGTAATAATAATATTTTTTTTTTTATATTGTGATACTTAGAAATACAACTTAACAAAACAAGAAACAGCAGAATTTGGGACACACAAGCCTGTCAAGTTAACTAGCCCGACTGTGAATGAATTTTATTATACATAAAAAAATGCAGACCGAAAGGGCACATGCCCTCTGCAATGTCCTAGCACAGATTGAAAATTTCACTGGCTCCAGACCAGTGGGCCATCAATTATTTCAAGCCCTGCTGGAAACACGTGTTCCACACAGACAGAATGTATGAATTATATTTATGACCTTGAACTTTTGATCTCAAAATCAAAGGTAATCTTCTAGAGACCATAGGGATTTGCGATATAAAATTTCATTTCAAGAGCTCAATGGTTTTTTGAGATATTGTCTAGAAAGAGAAGTGTTCTACATAGACAGAATGTATGAATTTCTGACCTTAACTTTTTTAAATATATATATATATATATATATATATATATATATATATATATATATATATATTTCTTCCCTGAACTCTATTCATTGATATTTTTAAAGTTATTACATTTCCATAACTGTCAAAACAAATATAAAATTCAATTTAAAGGTGCTTAGACACAGATTTGAACTTAATATTTTCTCAAATTTTCTGTATAATATCACGACTTATATATTGCAATAGCATTTCACACGAAAATATAATTAAAAACGTATTTTATCTGGAAATTATTGGAACTACGAATTCCGGGACGCGTTTGATTAACACATCTTTGCACTTACACAAATTTTAACATTATCCTTAATATTTAAGAAAAGAAGCGATTTTGTTATGTAATAATGAAAAGTATTACATCTAAAATCCAGAAAATTCAGAGTAGAAATGTTCGAAAGCAAAACCAAATCACCAGTATTGTCAGTACGTGCTCTGTGATGTGTATAGAGTTTAACAAATTGAACACACCCGTGAAACGTAAACTGTTTTGTAAACAGGGCACGAGCTCTGTTATTGTTAATGTTTATGATTCACCGGGTGTGTTCAATTGTTAAACTCTGCACACACCACTGAGCACGGACTTCCAATACTGTGAGTGGGTTTTGCTTTCGAACATTTCTACTCTGAATTTACTGGGTTATAGTTTTAATATTTTTCATTAATACACAACAAAATTGCCACTTTTCTTCAATATTAAGAATAAAATTAAAATATGTGAAAGCGCAAGGATGTGTCAATCCAACGCGTCCAGAAATTCGAAGTTTTAATAACTTCGAGATGAAATAAGATTTTTATTGTATTTTAGTATGAAATGCTATAGCAACATATAAGTCATGAAATTATACTGAAAATTTGAGAAAATATTAACTTCAAATCTGTGTCCAGGCACCTTTAAAGCACTCACTTCATATTGATATTATCTATGTGAATATTAATAAATCATTATTGATCCTTCAATAATAACAAGATAATGCTAAAATAAGCAATTCTCATGAAAAATTTGATTTACAGAGTTATGCCCCTTTTCTAAAGTAATATTATTTTTTTTTTGTTTGTTGTTTAACGTCCCTCTCGAGAATTTTTCACTCATATGGAGACGCCACCACTTGCCGGTGAAGAGCTGCAAATTTTGTCTTACACTCGGCACTTACGGCCATTGAGCAGTGAGGGATTTTATTCATGCCGGCACCTACTGCGACACGGGACCTCGGTTTATACGGTCTCATCCGAAGGACCGGGTAAAGTAATATTAACATACAGGTGTAAATTACATTGTGCCAAAATCATGTTTTCCCCTCATTAATATTTTTTCTAGACTTTACACTACATAATATTACTGAACTTATTAATCATAATTGAAATAATTTCTGTTGCAATTAGTTCGTGATTTAGCCTAAATTTTTTGCTAGGTTGACAATACTATACATGTATTGTCCTGATAAGCTAGAGACCATACGATTTGAAAAAATGTGAATGTCAAGTTCAAGTACTATACAAATTCCAGTTGTTTATTAGGTATTTCAAGGTCATCTACCCAAAATATAACAATCGATAAATAAGGTATTTATAAAGAGACAGGACAAGTTCAATAATAATAATTATACAATGTGGGATTATACACTGTATTTTTCCTTTCTTTAAATGCTAAAGGTAAATTTAGCAAAATCATTTTATTAGGATGTACTGCATCTCTTCCATAATTAGACATATTCACAATATCTCTATACATACCTTAAGTACATGTTTTAATATATTACAGCTTGGCCAATATATGGACATATAAAAACAAAATGGTCAACAAAGTATTTCCCATCCTTGATAGTTTACAAACTTTAATATGTTTTCTATTTGACAAAAGAGACAGTATATACTCTTTAATCAACCATACTCAATTTCCAATCAATGACTTGAAAGTCTGTATTGATTTACAGTTTATTACATTTATATACCTTTCTGGTTCAAAAATAACTTTATTTTTTTTCAATTTACTGTACATTAAAATTCAAGTTTTTCCATAAGAGGTTAATGATCCGATGATAAGTGTCATTCCTGCATAAACATACATGTATGTTGTTATCCTAAAAATCATTGAAATAGATTAGATGATTAAAATTCGAACAATGATAAATTCGGAGTCCATGCAAATCTTCCAGAAAGGTTTTATCTGGCTGCAGGAAGATCCGAACCGTTCACTCTGGACTGATTTCAATGAAGGGAAAAAGTGCTCAATCTGTAAATGAAGTTATTCATCATACTAAATATTTTGTTTTTCTGATTAGAATAAAAATATAAATATTTGAAATTTTGAACATAACATAATTATATAGGTAGATCTAAGGTTTTTTATTTGAGAACAGAGAGTACATAAAGTTTAAAATTAAAACCTGTCTTGCCAGAAAAGTTTTGATATTTTTATGAAAATGTGTGTTGGTGGTGTTGGTGGGGGGAGGAGGATTCATGATCTAGTAAATAACTAGCACCTACCAGTTCTAAAGTCCATTCTATTTATATATCTTAAATGTGTGGTGGTGGGGGAGGGGGGGGGGAGGAGGATTCATGATCTTGTTAATAACTAGTACCTACCAGTTCTAATGTCCACTCTATTTATATATCTAAAAACAGACAATGTATCATTGCTTGATCCAACCCAGAGATGGTGAGTTCTATTATCATAGCTCAGACACTGCGCTAAATTTATCCCAAGTTCCTTTGTAGAAAGTAGAACTGACAAGAAGTGGCCGTCTTTGTCAATCATCTGCACGGCATCTGCATAATTATCGTACACTAGAATGTGCGAAAATGCATCTGTGCAAAGTGCAAATGGAGTAAATGGAATCTCTGAGGCAGACCCTGTGTAGGAGAAGCGATGTCTTCCTCCGTGGTCTGTCACCACTACGGCACTTTTGGTCAAGTCAGTCACAACAACATCTCCATTACGATTTTCTGTGACAAAGATGGGACGGTTATATAGTTCGTGACCTTGAAGATATTGTTGGATGGTCTTGACATGTTGTCCTGTACTGTTGTATCGAGTTATCTTGCCTGTGTATTTATTGTGTCTCACTGTTCCAACTAGCAGATCTCCTGTCACTGGAGAGCAATAGACACAGCTCGGTTCCCATGGTTCCATTTTCGTTACATGTATCATTGTAGTTTTTACATTATTGTCTACAGACAATTTGTTGATATTGCCTTCTCTGTCTATATAGATAAGTTCACCATCACCTGTCACTGAATGTATTCCCCACCAAATCTCTTTCAGTACATCTGTCACATGACATCACCAACTGTGTTTGTCAAATAGATATCATCATGGTCACTGACCCAGACCCGCTCTGAGGTCACCATGGAAATGTGATTTACAAAGCTAATACCTCTCACTGTGACAGATTTTTGCAACACGGGTGTAGGCATCAGTTTAAGTAGACATTCACTTTCTACTTTTCTTTTTCCTGTTCGATCTATATTTTGGATTTCTCCTAATTCTTGAATCAAGTCCTCTGTGTTGACTTCTGTACTCAGGGCTTGTTTTGTAAGAATACAAGTACCCTTTGTTTTAATGCTAGGAATATTCTTTATAAATGAGAGAAATTCTACAGGTCTGTTTATGGACTGTTCAGTTTTCTGATCATAGCTCTCCACGATAGTAAGATGTCTTTTCATTCTTGTCCTCTGTTTAAGTAATCTATGAATCAAAAAATGATTGTATTTGATTTTAACATCACATATCACATCATCAATAAGATCTTTAAATCTCTGAGCTTTTGATGACATCAATGACTGATGATCCGAAATGTCTTTACGCAAAATTTTTATATCAGAGTGGATTTTTGCAAGAAGGAAACAAATATTATAGAGAAGCTCACTTCTGATGTTGTGAATTATTTCTCTGTGTTGTTGTCGGTTTGTTTTATATGCTGTCTTGATATTTAATATTTTGTGTTTTCTGTGTATTTTACAATGACGACAAACAGGAAGTTTGCAGGATTGACAGTACATTTCATATATCCTGCCTGGATGTCTTACACAAGCTTCTTCTTTCAGAAAACACTTGAATTTCTCACGGTACATCACAACATCATGGTACAGTGTATCTAGACTCATAACATGTCTCTCTTTACAATTTAGACAAAGGCTGTGTTTACAGGTCATGCAGTAGAATTCCGTATCCCCGGGACATTGAGAGCAGTGATGCACTCTACACTGCGTGCTGAATCCTTGTGTCTTCATGTTGTGGGGATCAACATTTGGTACACAATCTGTAAAAAATTAAGTAGTTTTTTTTTTTACATTCATACAAGGGTATACAAAACTTTTAGGTAAAAATGCCTTGAATTTATTATACATGTATGTCATGAATCTAGCAGGGCCCGCTTTTTCAAAAGGTTGTTATAATTTTAATCTGGTGTTTTTTTAACATGGCGTTAAATAATAAATTGTAAAATTTAACCACCTTTTTGAAAAAACCAGATCGAGATGTATATATCAGACTTACAACCAGTCCTTATACAAATATTTAGCTGCAGAACTGTAGCGTTTTGGTTTTATAATTATTAGTCTTTGACCATAGCAGTCAAAGATTATATAAAATTATAATGCAACAGTTCTGAAGCTAACAGATTTTGGGATTGTGATGTCATTTTTTACATGCTCAAAATCTACAATCAATTGCCAAGAAATTATGACAGTCAAGTTCAAGAATCCGTCAAAAAAAAAAAAAAAAAAAAAAAAAAAAACCAAAACAATTACAATTATACGTGATCTATTGTATCTATCATATTTTATGTGAAATCAGTAAGCACTTTTTCCTCTATGTGCTATACCATCGACACCTCCGACATATGAATCAATATGCTCATTTTTACATGTCAGTTGTATTTATGAAGGTCTTTGACAAAGGATTAATAAGAAGAATAATAGGATTATGGAAAAAAAAATTATAATCAATTCGTTGACATATTATAGAGAACCCTGGTGACTGAGTAAGCTAGGGGTTCATTGAACGTAATGTACACTGATTAGTCCAAAATATTCCGCTTATGGTGACGGAGTTTGGTAGTAGGGGATATTTAACGTTATATAGTGTTTTATATATACAATCATGTTTATTATACTTTTATGCTAAATACTAAAATCTGATTGGTTTAGACACATTTAACAATCCGTAATATTACCCTCAGCGTTAGCAACACACTTGACAACGGGTAACATTACGAAAATATCACATGCGTTCAAATCATGCGCGTACGGTTCACCGTAGAATTCTCAAAACGTCGGTTGTGCGTTTGAAAGAAGCCGAATAAACGACGTCAATAAAAGCTTGCGTCCGATGTAGCTTACTTGAAAAAGACAAACGACAGACGAAACATCCTTGCGAGTGCAAACTTGAGATGATAAAGGACTTTTTGAGTAGCAAACAAATAATAAAGAGGTTGGTAAATCTTTTCCAAGGCTTTCCTATTGAGAAAAATAGAAGCGGGGAGTTTGAAAGCTTTCTAAGCGTGAAGTTAACGACGATCTCTGAATTTTTTTATGACATCCGAAATCAATAAGACATTCAGTATAATAAAATAAATAGTGCACGTTTTTGAGGGTAACAGTTGAAATTGACACCCCTCGGAAAACCATTGTCAACCTCCGCTGACGCGTCGGTTGACAATTATAGTTTTCCTTGGGGTGTCAATTTCAACTGTTACCCTCAAAAACGTGCACTATTTATATAATAATAGACGGAATTTTTCTATAGCAAGTAACATGCTTAACCTACAATACAAACATCAAGGATATAAATACAGAAAAGTATAGGAACAGTGGTCAAACTCCGCCCGACTCAGAGTAGTTCACGAGTATCATGAGTACGTAGGCCTACCCAATAAGGCTAACATTTTTTTATATCCTGTTTTACGGGAGCGCCGACCCTAATTTGGGCTAAAATGAAATAAAAATAAAAGTCCCTAATCCAAATTCTATTTTTATTTCTCCCGCCGATAGTTTATTTCCTGAAAAAATAAAAGAAACATAAATAAACTTTTCACAAGCCTTTCAAAATGCGATTTGTCACTGGCTGAGGTAAATATATTCATCCAATCACAGTATTCGAAGTTTGAATAGTCACTGCACAGCATAGCGCCATTTGAAATGTCAGAATCGGAGGGTTTCATATATTTTTAACTAGTCATTTTAGAAAGTGACATGTCCATGTCATATATTAGAAAAAAGTATAAATTTCAGATTAACTTTTTATGAAAAATTGAATGAAATAGACGAAACAGTAATCTTGATCAAATGTCATGCAGAGGGCCACGTGGAAATTGAGGTTCTGTCAACCGCTTGTTTTGAAAGTTTTGAGTACGTATTATCTTTGCTTCAATACATTGAAATACGTCTTGAAGATTTTTTAAAACTTAATTTTAAGACAATAATGTTTTCTTTTACAATTAACGACAGAACAGAACACTGTAAAACTGGTAGAAAGTGGCGTGACTGAGGAAATTCGGGTCACAACTTTCATTCGTTTTATGTCAAATATTGGAATTCAGAATTACCTACGAAAATATATGCTTGATTGATACACGACATTATTTCCTTTTTTTATCATTTTATGGAATTTTGCGTGCTATATAACAAATTAATGTACATGTACATCAGCTATTAATAACAGCTGATACAGTGTATATATATATCTCTCTTGTTTAGTAAGACAAGTTTTTTTACTACTAGGGAAAAGTATTGTTGTAAATGATACGCCCTAACAAATATTATTTAAATTCAAAACCTGGTTTCTTTTTCTTTCTTTTTTTTTCATTCAAAAGTTCTGGATTAGAACCAGTTTCAACGATTAAATTTTTGAATTCTGCAGTAAACAGAATATTGTCATGTGTACTTTACATGTGTATACTATGGGAATGATGTACATATTTTCTACAATTATGTTGAAAGTAAGCATGCTCAGAAAGAAAAATATAAGGATAAAAAGAGATCAAATATACTACAGATTGAGGAAGTTTGAATATATTTTCAATAGAGAGATTGGGGTACTTTTTTCCACCTATGTATATATTAATTTGAACTGCGTTGAAAAAAATATTATACAACTTTTCTTTTTATCATGTGTCATGTGCACTTCTGTGAATTAATTTATTTTAGCTGATCCATTGAACGTCTCACTGTATATTTGCCATAACTTTGTCAGAGCTAGTCCAAAATCCTCAGATCTTGTAATTTGCTGAATACCAAAAAATAAAAGATTCTGAAAAGTTTATGAGGGGTGTGACATAAGTCCTATAAGTTTTACTATGGTGACACTTTGATATTTGACAACTGGGAGAAGGTTATAGATTTGTATGTTTGATTTGCATTAATATTAGAAATTGCAAGCTGTTAATACTAGAAATGCACCCCTTACCCAAATATCTAAGTAGTTCATTGATACATTAACAGTACCAATTTTGTGTTTTTTTTATACCTAAGTTTTTCAAATAACACTTTTTTCCTAACAAATTAAGGTCACAGAAAAAAATTCCATTATTGCATTTTTTCATTTTATTTTTATTTTTCTGACCTACTGCTTAAATTTCAAGCTTTTATTTTTATTTTTATTTCGACCCCCCGACTCAAATTATAGAAAAAAATTCCCGTAAAACAGAAAATAAAAAAATGTTGGCCTAATTAATTCTAACATAAATCTCACGGCAGTGTCTATATGCATGACCGTCGTGTACTTACTTTTTTATCGGCTATTCGCACGACCGTCGTGTATATAATTTTTCAGTGACTATTTGCACGACCGTCGTGTATATAATTTTTCATCGACTATTTGCACGACCGTCGAGTATTGTATTTATTAATCAGCTGACCTATTCGCACGACACATTATGTTTTTATTTCATTCGTTGTTTCGTCCCCAGTTAAGTTCGGCACGTACTGGTTTAAGCCTCAATGTATTTTCGTAAGAAAACATCAGAAAAACTTTCTTTCATAATGTTAATTTAAATAGATATGAAGATCTAGTTGATATTTTAAACACTAATGAAAAATAATCAAAGGCAACCTGTCAAAATCTTTAAATTTAATCTTTTCAGTAAGACAAAAATATTTGTAAAAATCTAATTTATTTCATATGCCCTAGCTCTGCTGAAAATGAAAATATGTTATATATGCTAAAGTGATATATAGGTCCAATGGGCACCGGTCGTTGTAAAGCCTCGTATTTGTACATGTATATATTCACCTGTCACTATAATCATAACAGAATATTTACTAACTATTTTGGTAGGCTTGTGGTTTTACCCCATCCACCTCAAACCAAATCTCAAAAAAGCCATAGTGTATTGATAGGCATTTTCGCCTACTCAAGTAGTGATTTCTTAAATACACTTTTAACCAAACCTTAGTTTATACACATGTAATCTCAAATTAACAATAATGATATTTATACGTTAATAGTTCCCCTATATAATAATTATAAAAATCATCAAGTTTGTATGGAGTATATAGTCAATATTGAGGTATCTACCTAAACAATGACAAACTGTTGACAAAAACCATGCACCCCTAACCAGAAAAACAACACTTGAATAATTTTGTGTATTATGGCACTTTATTTTGGTTAAAGGTGGTCTTAATTCATGTTGAAAATGGTGCAAATTTATATATATTCAATTCTTCATCTCATATTATTTTAAGATTTGGCAACCTTTCTTAAATTTATCTATTCAATTTCAATGACTTCGTGGCACAGTGATATGATTGCTGAAATGTAAATGTGGTGAATCCGAGCGTGAGCCCAAGATTTTTCCAGTTGTGCTCTTTTATTTAATTTTTTTCTTTGTGTATTTTTTCCACGTTTTCTTTACTATGTTTTAAAATAAACATAATTTCAGAAAGTCATAATATACACGTTACACTTTGAAAGTATCTCGGGAAAAGATAGTTCTAAGCTATTTCATTAAATTTTGCATAGTTACTTGTTTTATTTTTATTGATTTTCTAAATCTTTTGACCCAAAATTAGAGTAATGAACATGTAAAATGATTGTTATATGACATATATGTATTTGCAACTATGAAAATGTAACACTCGTCTGCAAATGATATTACATTGGTTGATCTTGAATTGAAAAAGAAAAGCTTAGGGTCATTTCTTTTTAATTCTTGAATCGGTCCTGTCGTCGGTAAGACAGCTATGGCTCTTTGCTTCCCTGCCCACATTCAATTTTTAAATTTTTCTGT